ATGTAAAGAGTTTTATCTCTAAAAACTGTTTAGCGTATAATGCCAGTAATAGGGGCATTGACTAAGTAAAAAGAAATCGCTAGTTTATACCACTAACAAGGCTCAAAATAGCCCCACACTAATGCAGTAACATAATGAGGCTCCATACATGCAAAACGAAGCATTGAGAACTTTGTAAGTGTTCAGACCGTTTAATAAGAAGATATTTTTTGAAGACAGTTCACTTCACGTATACAGACAGGAGCCATCTTAAAAAACATTCTCGATAAGTCGATGCCCGAACGCCGTTCATACAGTTCAGAAGTTCGTTGAACTTCATACAGTTCAGATCACTCAGCACGACGTTCGTGGTTTGACTTATCGAGACTATTTTTTAAGATGGCTCCTGTGACTGTCTGTATACGCGAAGTGAACTGTCTTCATAAAGTATCTTCTTATTAAACGGTCTGTACACTTACAAAGTTCTCAATGCTTCGTTTTGCATGTATGGAGCCTCATTATGTTACTGTGTTAGTGTGGGGCTATTTTGAGCCTTGTTAGTGGTATAAACTAGCGATTTCTTTTTACTTAGTCAATCCCCCCATTACTAGCATTATACAGTCCCTCCAGAAAAACGCGATTATGCGATCGCTGAATTCAATGCAAAATCAGCCAAAGTCCGCATATTTATGCGGGGGCAGCATTTTTTCAAATACGTCGCACTTTCGGCGCATAAATTGCCGATTTCCGTGCAAAATATGCAGGGTTTGCATAATTTCATAATCCTCGCATTTTCGTTGCAAAAAACGTCACATGTATCTTAGCAGAAAGTTGAAATGTTGCGTTTGCTTCACACAAGAGCAGCCATTTCCCCCTGTTTCCATGGGAACGTTATGAAGTGACGCAATTACGCGACGCCAGACAGACTCACGGAGGCAATTGACATCTCACAAATCGAACTCGTATAACTGTCTGTCACACGTTCTACCGTCACATCGTTACTTAATAAACAACATAAGATAAAAGAAGTAGCATCAAACAGACATGGGGTGTTCGAGGCGCACATATAACACTGCAGAGAGCTCTTAAAGGGGCCACACCTTATTTACACTCGTTACAGTCTGAAATAAAACAAGATGAGAAATTAAATATTCCCAGCACTTTCTATGATGTAGTATGCTTGCTTATCAAAGGAATTAATAAGAAATGACTCTTACATTAGCCTAGTGAGAACATGATGTTGGGGGAATCACTTTTTTTCTCTTTTTCATCAAACCACAATTTTTGCAAGTTGCCTCAATTTTTGCAAATTCCTGTAATTTCATCGCATAAAATTGCATAAATATCCCGCATATTCCATCGCATTTTTAAAGAAAACGGGCCGCGTAATCAATCAATTTTTGCCCGCAACAATCACAAAAAAAAAAAAAAAACTCTGTTATATAAATCGCAAATTTTTTCACAAATTTTTGGAAATTACCACCACAAAATCAGTCATTTTGATCGCAAAAATCACACAAAAAAATCGGGAAATCCTGGAGGGACTGATTATACGCTAAACAGTTTTTAGAGATAAAACTCTTTACATTCGATTATCATGAAAACAAATCTCAGAGAACGGTTGACTACCGATGTTTTATTAGACCACAGGTTCATTGTTCGCTGCAGTTCTCCTGATGACCCGAGTCTGAGTTACATTCACACACAAATCATGTCACAGTTGTCATCATGGTCATGTTCTGTTTGCTTTGTGTTTCAGTTTTGGTTTTTACCTGCTTGCTCATCTGTCTGTGTGTTTTCCTTACTGATTTAAGTCAGTCACATGTTCTGGGTTACGTTAATCATCCCTCTGTGTATTTATAACCTTGGTTCAGTATTTGTCCGTTCTCGTCTCCTCCTGTGGCTCATGTTTTTGATAGTTTTTGTTACAATATTGCTGCAACTAAATACAGCCTTTGATTTCACCCCTGCTGCAACCCAACGCTGACAACACTTCTATTGCTACCAAACACTACACTTCACAGTGCACTTCATGGCCTCCATGACAGCTGTCAGATTACCAATTTTCCATTTTCGAACTAAACTGCCAGTGTGAAAGCCCTCATAGTTTGCATAGTATCACATCTACTAGAGTGCATTGTCTAGAATTCACAAAACAATGTTTATGTTGGTAACAATTTCTAAACCAGTTACTACATCAGTATTGTTGCCTGTTTCCACCATTTTTTTGTTGCAATGTTTGCATGTTACTAAGCTAACAGCCTAATAAGCATAAAATGCGCAGCCCACCAATATTAAATAAAGTTGATCACTGTAATTAAATTGCAATTAGTTATGAAATGAAATATGAAATAATGAACATTTGCTATTTTAGAATTTGGCTGATCAAGGTTACTTAGGGTCTGTTTACACAACACCGTTTCCAACTGAAAACATAAAACTCTTTATGCGTTTTGGCTGTTCGTTTAAAGGGACACTTCACCCATATGCATTAAGCTTTATATCTTTAGAAACCCAGTCATATTTTTAAATGGTCATGGTTATTTTCCCCTAAATTGGGAGAAATAAGGATTTACTGCTGATTATAACGTAAAAATCGTCATTTTGCGCCATAATAAGCAGGAAGTCACATTTCATTAAAATGACAGAGACTACAAACATTAGCTCCTCATCAAGGGTGTGGGACCCACTCACCCTACAGGCCTATTACAGATCAGTGGGTGGGACTTCACTTGCAGAAATTGAAATCAATATCCACTATCTTGTTTTTGGAAGCTAAGCTATCAAGCGCTGTGGATGACAGTTGGACAGAAGAAACTAAACATGATATGGAAGAAGAGCAATTTGAAAGTCTGCTGCTCGAATCCGATGTTCGTGGCTATCTTTACGAGCCGCAGTATAGTGAAGAGCAGCTGAGGCTGATGGAGGAGCAGGAGGCGGCTGCCTGTCGGTCGAGGAGCCCGAACTGGCTCGAGCTGAGGCGGACTGCTGTGCATGTGCTCTCGCTGCGTGGTACGGCCTACGGACACAGAGTCCGTCTGCTTTAGAGAATTTCAACGATGCCAATTTCTCCTGGACGAAATCTCTGAATCAGACGAGCACACGGATGTTTGTGTTGTGAGGTGAACCATCATAGTTTCGCCTGACTGAACATCCAGGTATCATGCAGTAATACACCATATAGAAAGAAATACAAACGAGGAGTAATTCACTAATGAGTATGCCAATGTAACGTTAACGGGCTTTGTTGTTGTGGGAAGAAGGACATTTAAACATTTTAATAGTAAAATGTACAAATACAAAACGAAAGTATAAGCCAACAGCCCCTCATTGACGACTGATGTCCACCCACAACAAAAAATCAGGCCTGTTTCTCTCTCGATCTGCCGTTTATGCTTCCGCTCCTCTGTGAGAGATACGAGACCGGTCGGTGCGTCTCTTGTCTTTCATTACCACTCACGCCACCGGCCTCGCACCGTCCTCTTGTGCCGCTCTTACGTCCCTCGTCCTGCTTGCCAAAGCCAACTAAGTAGAAATTTTGCGTGAAGTGAATTTCAAACTCTGGTGACAGCTAACGTTAGCCTTGTTGACGATTCAAGAATGTTTTCTCTGATGTGTGCGCAGTTCCGGATTAGTGGGTGTGGCTTGCTGAGCTGTGCTATGTGGTGCATTGTGGGTGTTGTAGTCTTTCATACAAATGCACCCTTCGGTTATTTTCTGTCTTTTCTCAGTCAAGAGGGCACCAAATTCAAAAATTCTTTTACATTTCGACAACATATATGATCCACTTTCAATAAAGATTAATGTTGAAATGGGTAAAATGCTCCTTTAAATGACAACAAAGTGTGGGTGCCTGAAAACGCAAACTTTTGAAAACGGGTTTCAAAGTGCACGTTTTTGAAATTGGTCAATGTATATACATATCCGTATAACGTATGAATCTCTGAAGACGATGACGTCATGCACATGCATATTACGTGCTCAGTCTATAGTGTTTCATCGACATCTAATGTCCTGGCAGCAGAATACAGAGTTTTAAGTTGTTTTCACGGATCCGTTTTGACAATGGTGTCGTTTGTACGTGGAAAACTCAAAGGAAAAACTCTGTTTTAAGCAGATTGTTGTCGTGTAAACGTACCCTCAGCTGCCTCCTTTGAGAAACAGCCGAAACACAACTTGAATTTGTTCTGATCCATTGGGAATATACCAGTAAGGCAGTTTTCCCACACTCTTGGATACCCACTAGAGCAGTATTTCCCAACCCCAACAGATGGCCTCCATTCGCTCTCTTTTGCATTTCCGGTGAGGAGTGACTATAAGACCTTCTAGACTCTCAACAGCTGCTGGTTGGGTAGGTGGGGGTGGGAGCAAATTTACAGACGCATAAACCCCTCTCTCCATTTAGACCATTTTAACCGTTTGTTTTCATAGAATGTTTAACACTGAACATGATGTTTAATGTAGCATTAGATTTAACACAAGTCCACACCCAAACAGCCAAGTCAAACATTTCCTACTAAAGATAAACAACTACTACAATTCTCTAAATCTCCAGTAAGAACAGCCCATAGAAAAATGATATTGCTCTAAAGTTGCTCTTGAAGTTCTGATGTTTCATTTAGGTCAAATATATTTCTATAGCCTAAGAGCATTTCATTACACATTGTTACAAATCAGCAACTTTGTCTCTGATATTTCCCTTTAATTCTTCAGGAAAGATAAAAACACATACATGAGGTATTCAATGACATACAATAAGAATTAGCATAGCCTCGCTCAAATATTTTGAACGCTGAATTTAATTAGAAATTTTAGAGCATATTGAAATCTCTGTTGATTGTTGCCTTCAGTATCTTCAGTATCTATAATTTTGAGCACATACACAGCTAAAAAGAATGCAACACTATTTAGGAAATTGATCTGGATAAAGGTATATGTGCAACATCTGCAAACAACATGAATCATTTTAGTTCTATGTTTATGTTGTAGCACATGATGTTAATTCAAAAGAGAGGACTTACCCTGTAGACTGTGTTCAACTGTTGCGATGAAGCTGTATGTGTGAGTGCTGACAAGATGTAGAGAACGCCGATAGATCCCAAGAGCAGAGAGGCCATGATTCCCCCTGCAACTATTCTAAAAGCCCAGCAGTGTGTGTGGTTGTGTTCCCTGCTGTAGAGTCTTTCTCACATCTACTTCTTCCCGGGCTATTTTTTGTCCTTTCTCAAGCCTATGCAGTTTGTGCTGCTGTTTTCTTCTTCTCTCGCTTACGCCCTGCCCTGCCAAGCTGGACTTCCTCCCTCAAACACCCCGGCCCCCCTCTTCCTTACTCACACTTTTCCCTCACAAGATCTTGAATGGAAATCACATGCAGCTGGGGAAAAATGAGTTTAAAGAATCCAAACTGAGGGAGAATACAACTCTTTATGTATTCTACTGTAACTTCTGCTGTTAACCTAAAGGCGAATAAATGTTGCCTGATTGGCAGAGAGAAAGTAATGGTCAGCTCACAGTACCCTTTGACCTTGGCTGAGGCCCTCCCCCTCCCTGTGGATGTCTCTTAACCCCTCTAACCCACTGGAAATGCCATCTCCTCCAACACACACACACACACACACACACACACGCTCAGATGAGATGCATGACAACATATCAGGTACAAGACAGGGTCAGTTTTCTGCTCTTGTGTTTTTTGGTTGTTCGTCCAGAGATTCTTAGTTCATGGATTCCTCTCAATTCGACTCACCGCTTTGCACATTTTCAAAGTCTCTCTTATCTAACACTCTCCCACTGAGCTGATGATCAGAGAAGAGAGAAATAAAAAAAATGTACAGCACTGGGGTGCCAAGAATGGAATTGAGATTCACTGGTGTAGTCACTTGTAAAAAAAAAGTGTAAAATCTATAGACTCTCTCTGAGATTTTAATGTTTATTGTTCCATAATTTTTTGTTAATTCACCCCAAATTAAAAAATTGTCATCAATTACTCACCCTCATGTTGTTTGTTGTTACATTTCACTCATCTTCAAAACACAAATGGATAAATTTCAAATGAAATCTGAGAAATGTATGTCCGTCCATTGACAGTCAATGCAACTACCACCTAAAAAAGAACCTAAATTATATCTGTTCGTCACATAAAGCAAGCAATCGTGTCTCTTCAGAAATTTGGACTAACTATTCAATTCATATGGATTAGTTTTACAATCTCTTTATTAACTTTTTGAAGCGTCAAAGTGGTAGCTGCTTGGACTGTCAGGTCAACGTAATATATTTTCATTGCAGGATTAACCGAATTATATTACTACGTGTAACATATAATTTGTAATTGTTTAATAAAAGAGAAAAACAAGTAAATTGCAATCCAGTTGTAATATTTGTGTCATGTGAGTTCAAATGAGCTCAAATGTGTCCATTTACACCATGATTATGCAGCATTGAGTATTTCAGTCAGTCACAGCATTTCTGTTGAAAATAATGACCAATCAGAGGTGTTTAGTCACCGGTAGTGAGAACCTGCTCAGTATCGCTCAAAATGCTGAACGAGTTTGTTTATCGAAAGTTTAAGTTCTACACACACACAAATCCTCTAAACAACATAAAAAGATTGTAGTCAAGATGGTGTTTACATGAGCAGGAGACAAATGTGCCCGCGTCGTAACTGAGTCCCATACTAACCCCAGAAATGTAGTTCTCTGTTGAGGAATTAGTGAACTCTTTTTGACATTGAGTCTCAGCCCCAGGCACCTCAGATGGTGCAGAACCGCCATCTCCTCAGACTGTTCTAGAATAAGCCAGTCGTCAATGAGCAAGTCTTAATGGAGCTAAAGCAGCATCCAATGCATTTCATCAAGGTGCGAGGGGACAATGCTAGGCCGAACAGAAGACCTGATATAGACCCGATATTGGTACACCTTTCCCCCGAATGCGAACCTCAGGAATCTCCTGTGATGGCGAAGGATGTATATGTGGAAGTACGAAAATTTTAGATCTATTGTGATAAATCAGTCCTCTGACCTGATTTGACTCACGATGACAGGTAGTTATCTTGAACCTGAATCTCCTCAGAGAATGATTCAATACCCTGAGATCTGCAATGGGACGTAACCCCCCATCCTTTTTGGGAACCATGAACTACTGGTTGTAGAACCCGGATGCTCTATAGCCTCGTTTGCTAAGAGGGACTGAACTTCCTGTTCCATAACCCGACCCTGCTCGGGGTTGACAACAGTGTGAACTACCCCCGCTGAATTTCAGTGGACAATACTCAAACTGAATTCTGTACCCCTTTTCCACTGTGCGCAGGACCCGCTGAGATTTTGAAGACCTTTCCAGGTGTCGAGATATTCTACTAGGTGTGATCAGTCTCTCGAACCTCGGATGTTGTGTATGTTGCATGATTTCAGTGCCCTGAAGCGACTGATTGGCAAGTGACAAAAACTATTTAAATTTTCTGCAGTTCATGTGAGAGGAAGCAAACTCGACAGGGCCACAACGTTTTCGGGCGGACACTGCGATTTGCGGTCGCTGGAAGCCGATGCATCCAGAAGCACGCGAGGCGGCTGGAAGCAGTGTTGTATTCGAAACCAGCTCACTCGAGTCCGAGTCGAGACCGAGACCATAGAGGGTCGAGTCCGAGTCCAGACCGAGACCAAAGACAGTCGAGTCCGAGTCGAGACCAAAGACAATCGAGTCCGAGTCAAGACCGAGACCATAGAGGGTCGAGTTCGAGTCGAGACCGAGACCAAAGACAGTCAAGTCCGAGTCGCGACCGAGAAGATAGAGGGTCGAGTCTGAGTCGAGACCAAAACCAAAGACAGTCGAGTCCGAGTCGAGACCGAGACCATAGAGCAGTGGTCTCAAACTCGCGGCCCGCGGGCCACAGTGATATTTTGTGGCCCCCTACTTGACATTAAAATTTAATGTTAGTGCGGCCTGTCGTTGCATGTGCCACTTTTTTTTTTTATCCCTTATGGGCTACCATAGATAGTCTTGTGACAGCTTACGGTGGGTTTGTTGTCAATAGTTGTCATAGACAACCACGAAGTACAAACATACTGCGCCTGGAAAAACTGAGCTTCAATTATGAGCGACCTACATTTGAAATAACGAACTTTAGCGGGCAAAATATGTTAGCGTGATATGTGTGCCACCTATCTGGCCACAAGCTACTGGTAGCTCGCGAGCTACGTGTTGGGGACCCCTGCTATAAAACAATGCGAGAATAATCATTTTGAGCTTGTAATATGTGTCCAAGAGGTTGATAAAAATGTTTGCTTTGATTTGTGCAAAGTCAGTAATTTGCCTGAGACACTATACATGTGTAGAAAGAATTCAATAAGATGGGCAGACATGACTGCAAATATTTGTATTTCAAAAACAATTTTTTTTTTTCTAAATATAATAAAAGAAAATGTGCCTTCCAAAAAAAACGTTTAATACCATTACAGAAAGGGAGAATCACCGGTGCAAAAATCTTCTTGATAACAAATTTATTAGAGGTGCAAAACTTGACTAACGTTTCGTTTCGTTTCAAGTTTTGCACCTCTAATAAATTTGTTATCAAGAAGATTTTTGCACCAGTGATTCTCCCTTTCTGTTTGGTCTTGTCCTGCCTTGGTTGCACCGGATCGTTTGGCAATTTACAGAAGCGCAGTAAGCCTTCCTTTTCAATTTAATATAATTTTTGTTTATATCATAATTTGTTGTATAAAGAAAATCAAAAGGACATGAGCAAATATAAGAATCACAAAGATGTGTTATAAGGAAAAGACAAAGAAAGTTTGTAAAATGAAATTTAACTGTCAGAAGAACAGCTCATGAAGAAACAATCATGTACAGAAAGGAATGTTCAACTTCAGAGGAAAAATTCAGAAGAAACATTAATAATAAAGATTGAGAAGATTGGATCAGTTGTGCTCCTTTTTTGGAATACTTGAATCCTATTTTTGTGGAATATTTGATGTGGCCCAGCCTGACCCAGACTCTATCTCCAGGGCCCCACATAGCAACATTGTTTAGGCCCAGATCCGGCCCACATCTGGCACTTGAGGGATGCGGATCTGGCCCACATGCAGCAATGAATGACGGCCCTTGGGTGGCCCACTCCTGTTTGCCAGATCTGGGCCACAAGCAGGCCATAGTAATGCCACATGTCAGCCAAGAGCAAAAAAAATAAATAAACCAGAACTGGACTTTATCTGAGCCACAAAATCTGTGTATATTAAACATGGAGTCATCTCAACCTTAATAAGCCTGTTAACAAGCAGAATCACTGAAGGAAAGAAGAGAATGGAAAAAGAGACGAGCAGAACAACTACAACTGACTTTAGACACAGTCTTAGATGCAATCACCTGAGGAGAAAAGAAGACATTAAATCTCTGAAGATCTCAGCAGAGGAGGATTAAACAACTCCACAAACAGCATTACCAGCTTCACTTATTACTAAACAGACTGACTTTATTTCTGTCAGACTTCTACAGAAGTTTGCATTGAGAACTAACAGAGGTTTAACTCTGTGTTTCATTTGAAGTCACCATAACATCAGAATCTCTGAAGGAGAAAATCGTAATTGGTTACCATTATGGAGATCAATGTTTGCTTTAGTTGGGCTCTTGAGCCTAAAGACATTTATTTTTGAATTTGTTCGGCTATTGTACTTCTGTTATAACAGCCAAATGAACAAAGAGAAAATGTGTTCAATGGAGAAAGAGAAATCAATGGTGTTGATTGGGTTATACCATAATCAATAATTGGCCTGAATCACTGAGAGGGTAAATTCAGAGGTAAGCTTTGTATCTTATGGATATTAATGCAGCGCTGTTGTTGTGGAATATGCCTGTTGTATTAAATCCAAATTATCAAATCAATTACAAAAAAAAAAAAAAACTTAAAAATACTTCAGATAGGCACATACAGACATCAAGAATTATCCTATGACTCTCAACAATGGTGACAAAAAGATTAACTCTGAACATTAGCTCATTAGTTATTCATACAGCAATGCATGATGGCAGCCATGAAAGAGATTTGATTGGTGGTATCCAGAATACACTGCAAAATGCTTTATAGATGTCACCATTATTGAGATTCACAGGCTGATTCTTGGTGTCTTTTTAAAATTAAGTTTTAAGAAATTATCTGGATTACATTGTAAAAGTTAAGATAATTATGATTTTCAAGGACAGTGTTGTAACAATAAACAATGACATAAATTTATCTCTACTCAGGTCAAATGATCGTAAAATCATGACAATGT